AAAATTCAAGTCGTTGTAAACCTGCCGATACTATTCTTGAAAAAACTTGTTGTTCTCGTGACAATACTATTCCCATTACTCGATCGACACTTTGTCCATACCCAACAATTTACGTCTTGTTCTACCCTCCCGATCTACCCAACGGACACAGAACCGCCGTCTAATGTGACCCATACGCAGGTCTCTGCATTCCCTGGTCAACATCTTGGAACCGGCGGCAGGTAATGCAGACAATGCAAGCTGTTCATGGTAGCAAATGGGAAACAGGAAACACCAAACCGGTTGTATTTTTGTTCTGTGATTCTTTGTTATGCCATTGGCTACCTGTCTTTCCCTTACGTCGAGCGGCTCTGAATAATCGCACGTTACATTTATGGACCCGTGCACGAACTGTGTTGGGCAGCTCAATCTGCTCTTCCTTTTTATTCTGTTGGAAACCGTCGCCCACCGCATCCCCTTTGAAACGCTGGAAAATCTGCAAAAACTGTCGCTTCAAGTAAACTGAAAACTATTAAATTCATAGTGTATGAGCGGTTTGTCTATGCATGACCAAGAAAGAAGACATCGCCTAGGATCACGCCGGCGTCTTGTCTTCCATTACCTCTTCCTATCCACCCCATCTTGCCGTGTCTACAGAAAGGCCAACGACTCAGCCTCGCCGAACCCATCCGCAAGACGCTTCCTCAAAGTATGAAACCTATGCACTGCGTGTCGTTTTTATCGTTTTTGTCGTAGTTTTGTCTTTCCCCAATCCAATCGTCGCGAGGCCATTTCTTCTATTGTACAGACCTAAAAAAAGAAGAAAAAGAAAGAAAAAGAAACAGATTTCAGAACCCTCTCTATTTTTTCGGTCACATGCTTATTTCGGTCTTTTACTTTTGCCGCTTCAGTGTCTTGACAGCCATTTCCACGAGACCGTCCTTGGCCTCGCTCGCCGGGAACACGGCGATGGACGCAATGGCCTGCTCGATGTAGTCTTGGGCGAGTGCCCGCGTCTGTTCAATGCCGTCTGTCGACAGAACAATTTCGCGTGCCTACGTTGTGGTTAGCAGTGAGTAATGAGTAATGAACCGAGCCGCGGTCTGTTTCTGTTACGTCACGTTCGGCGGGTCTACGTGGGAGGGCTCACCTTCTCTGCATCGCCGGGCTGGCTGAACTTGCGCCCGACGAGCTCGCCCAGCTCCGGCCGGTCGCGCCAGGCAAAGAGCAGCGGAGCCGTCGCCAGGCCCAGCTCCAGGTCGGCCCCCACAGGCTTGCCCAGCTGCTTGGCCGAGACCGTGTAGTCGAGCATGTCGTCGACCAGCTGGAAGGCCAGCCCCAGGTTCTTGCCGTAGAGGTACGCGGCCTCGACGGTCGCATTGTCGACGCCGCCCAGCAGCGCGGCGGCGCGGCAGCTCTTGCTGATCAGCGACGCCGTCTTGAGGTACGTCTTTTGGAGGTAGTACTGCAGCGTGGCCTCGCTCCAGACGGGGTGGGCCTCGTCGCTGGCCGTGTTCTTGAGCTGCATGAACTCGCCTTCCACCAGGTTGGCAATGACGGTGGCCAACAGCTCGACGACCTCGGCGTTGCGCAGGCGCGCGAGCGCGACGGACGCGCGGCCCAGCAAAAAGTCGCCCGCAAGCACGGCCATCTTGTTGCCAAACTCAAGGTTGGCCGACGGCGCGCCGCGCCGCGATTCGGAGTGGTCGATGACATCGTCGTGCAGCAGCGATGCGGTGTGAATCAGCTCGGTGATCTCGGCCAGGCGGCGCTGCGTCGGCAGGATCTCGGGTTGGCTGGTCTCGTCAGGTGTCGAAGTAGACGCGGTAGAGGAAGCAGAGGAGGCAGAGGAGGAAGGCGAGGCGGCAGAGGGATCGGTAAAGGGTGAAGTCGAGGACCAGGACGGGTTAAAGTCGGACAGGACGTTGACGGGCGAGATGGACACGTCGACGCCGGCCGACGCCTGGAGGGGCTGCTGCTGCTGCTGCTGCTGTTGAACATAGACAGGCTGCAGCTGGGGCGCCTTGGGGCAAAGGTAGGTTGCGCGTGACATGAGCAGCACAATCAGTGGCCGCATGTGCTTGCCCTCGGCCTGTGTGTAGTACTTAGCTGCACGGTCCAGCGACGGGTGGCCAGAGCCCAGCAGCTTGCGTACGTCGCCGATCAGAAATTTCATCTCTTTGGCGACTGTCCTCAGCGGGTCAATCGCCATCTCGTTCTTCTTGGCTCGGTTGAACGCATTGGACACCATGTTGCCGGCCACAGACACGGCGGCCGCCCATGCCGAGGAGGACCGACGGTTTGCAAGCTGGTTCTGGCGGAGGTAGTGTTGGAGGTGGGCGGAGTGTGTGTGCTGCTGCGGAAGCGGTCGTGCTGATGTCGTTCGTGCCAAACTGCTGGTGTCTTGTGGCAAAGTCGACTTCTGCTGGAGGCACTGTGCCGTCGAGGAGTACGCCGCCGAGCCGCATAACGGGCCGTGCGTTGGCAGCCGCCGAACTGCTGCCACACGCTGCGTCCGACTCAGCGGCACACCCGTGGCGCCCCTGATACGCACCACCATACTTCCGCCCTGTTTTTTGCAGCCTTGAGGCTGCAAAGCTGTCGTTGCTGTCGTCGGCGTGGTCGGAGCCGCCGGTCGGAGCTCGGGAACGCGCGTCCTGCTCGAATGCTTTCGGTCAAATTACCTGCTGGCGAGAGCACACGGCGAGCAGCAATACTGACCTAGATCGACGAGGCTTGGAGGTGAGAATCGTCGGGATGAACGTGGTGGTGACAATGGCTTTGTTTTGTCGGCGGGGCCCAGATAATACGGGTTGCTTTTTCCCTCCGGCGTTGATTCGATCTAGATTTTTCCTGCCATTACTGACGCCGGTCGTTCCTCCCCACCAAGCTGAAGCGTGCCCACAGGGAGGGCAAGGAAAACCGCGGTTTTGCGGCGATTGGGCAATTGGGACCGTCATTGAGCTGGTCCAGCCAATCACCGTGCGCCGTTTATGTCCCGCCCTTTCCCGAGTAGCTTGCCTCCCCCTGGACGAAAAAAAGCGTACTCGCAAAGCTATTTAGTGGGGTTCCTTACACTGTTAAGAGTGTTACAATGAGGATTCCTTGCTCTGTTAAAGTGCTAAAACGGTTTGTGAGTGCGCTTTATTTTGGCCAGATGGAGCTTGCTTAATACGTCGAATTCGCTACCTCGTCTGCTCGTTATGCTGCAGAAGGCAGCTACAGCCCGTGCCTGCCCTGTGGCTGCCATCAGGTCCCCACTTTTACGCCTGGAGCTTGGCAGGTGCCAGTACAGGTGTGTAGCACAAGGCAGGGCAGGTGCATCCTCCCTGAAATGTCGAAATACAGGAGCCTGGCTTCCCCATACAGCCTCATTATTGATACTCACATATCACCAAAGCGACCGTGCAGCCCCAACCCCGCAAGCAGGTCGCTAAAAATGGTGCTCCTCACGATGACGCCCTCCATAGTGGAGGGCTTGAAGCGACTGGGGGCCAATGCAAACTCGGCGGACAGCGCGCAGGGCACATTCCTTGTTGAAGAGGGCGAACCCGATCTCAGCTCACCAGCAGTCGCGAAACCCATCTCCCACGCTCAAATCCTGCGCCTCGCGGCCGCTTTGGACGCGCTTCATGCACCGGAGCCGGCCACCACCGTTACAACACTCGAGACGCTCCTGGTCGGTGCCCGCGTCCATGTACCGCCGCCACCACCGAAACCCGAACCGGTACGTCGTACATCCTTCTGCGCCGTGCGCCGCTCTTCTGCTCTTCTGTCCTCTTTAATTTTTCAGTTCACATGCTTACCTCCGTATAGTCTGCCGAATACAAGGCCCTGATGGCCCGCCTTCGCCGCGACGAACAGGCCCGTGCCTACGAACGCATGGTCAACCCACCCGACGCCTACGACACCTCCACCTTTGCGCAGGTGCACCGCCCCGTCTACGCGGCTGACACCGGCGACGACGGCGTGACGCTCAGTGATGTCAACCGCCAGGTCATGCTCATCTTCAACTTTGTGTTGACCATGGCAGGCGTGGCGTATGCGCTGTGGATGCTGGCGCGGTGGTGGCCGACGCCGTCGCGACTGTTTTTGGCCATGGGCGGCAGCATGGCCACGGGGCTTGTCGAGTACGGCTTGTATGCAGGCTACGTGTGGCATCTGGCCGATGCAGCACGGCGGGAGAAGAATGCACCAAAGGAAGTGCGCGAGGTGGTGAACACATGGGCCGTTGGGCCGGGTGGGAAAGACAACACGGACAGCCCGCAGACAGAGAAGGAGACGACAAGAACGCACGACACAACGAGCCACCAGGACGTGCTATTGCCAGGGTCGAAAGGAGCAACCGGAATTGATAGCAAGCAGGCACGGCGACGGAAACAGGACACAGCGCCAGCATCGTAAGCCGTTTCGTTGTGGGTATGTGGCGGACCTGTTTCACGAAAGAATAGTGTATCGCTACACAATTTAGCTTGCAAAGTAAAACCGCAACAGTTAACGCGACGTTTTAATAATGAACTGTCGTCGATAAAAACCACTTTAAGTCGTTGATGACATCACGTGGTTCACGCGAATACAGGAAGACGCGCTCCTTCCTCCAAAACGCGTCGGTTGGGGGAGGTACGATGCGCGTCGCCAAAGCGGGGCACCCAAAATGCATGGGCACAGGGACAAAGCTCTCTCTTTTCGCGACATGGGCAAACACACGACCTCTCCATTGAATTAGGAGGTTTCTTACTCGTGCGAAGTACTTTGTACAGTCGTTTTTTATTCAGCCTTTTATGCCGCATGCAATGGCACCATTTCTGCATCTTTCCATCACTTCCCATTGTTAACGCATCAAAGACTAAACTAAACACACCACGTCTCACCAACATCAACATCAACAAAGCCGTTAATCAAAACATCCATTCAAGAACGACTTGAGAAAACTTTGAGAACGACTCGTCTGGCCCTGAACATCGCTCCCACTTGCGGCGGCCACTGTGCCCACCCATTCCACCACGGCTCGCCTGTCCGCTATGCGATATATGACACCCGACACGCCGGGCACGCGTTCGCTCGAGGAGCCACTGGCGACGAAGGGGACGATGGCGAAGGGCACGGAAGCGACGCCGATCGGGGAAGATTTGAGCACAATGGAGACAACCACGCCGTCTGCGACACCGACACCGACGCCATCGCCAACCAAAGTGCCGCAGTCGGCCGCCACAACAACCGAGAAGCCCTCACGACGCGCCCTCCGGACCTATGGCAAGAAGCGTTCTCTTCCCGACGAGACGATCGAACAGCAAGCAAGCAAGCGACCAAAGACAGGTACAGCGATCCTGGTAGCCGTGCCAGGGGCGGTGGCCGTGGCAGCGGCAGCACCGGAAACGGTGCTGCCACCCGTCCGGCGCGACTTTGTTGCGGACGAAGTGTCGAGACAGCTGCAAAAGGAAGCGGACGAGGCTGCGTCGAGGAACAACAGCAGCAGCAGACGGCCGCAAACACCAGTCAAGGCGACGGGCCCCAAGACCAGCCCGCGCAAGGCCGCATCGCCACGAAGAGCAGCCAGCCCGCGCCGCGTGGGCATCATGCGATACTTTCAGCCCGCGGCACGAAGCGCGCCTGCACCACCTCATGCGCCTCCGCCACCATCTCTGCCGGAGCCGAGCTCGCCTGCAGCATCGATATCGTCAATGTCGTCTCTCTCGTCATGCCCGTCACCTGCCTCGTCCATCGCCTCGTTCCGGTCGACCGCATCATCGGCAGTGTCATCGCCCTCTGCCAAGTCTTCTTACTCAGTGGATGCGGCGGCGTTTGCGGCGGCGGTCGAACCTAAGTCACCATCATCCTCACCTCTTTGGAAAGCTTTTGATCAGCGACCAAGGCAGAAGCGGCGGTTGACGATACGGCCCGACCAGCAGATGACGACAGCGACGCCGAACACCGAAGAGGTTGCCATGCCGACCGACAATGGCAATGAGAACGACAACGTCATAAAGAAGCAGTCAGAACTGCTAGAGGAGCCAGACGAGGAGACGAAAGAAAACCGCCCGTTCGCCTCGGGCATGATGGCAGCATCAAGCACGCGCATGCGGGTGCGCCTGGGCTTGTCCAGCACGGCAACGGCAACAGCGACAACCGCAAGGAAGCGGAAAAAGACGGCGGGGGCACCATCGGTGCAGACAACCCTGAGCCTGGCTATCGCGTCCAGACACGGCGGAAGCAGCGACTCGGCATCGGTGCGGGAGTGCAAGGAGTGCAACATTCTCTACAACCCCTTGCACGAAAAGGATGCCAAGTTCCACGCACGCTACCATGCATCGATGTGCCGGAAACAAAAGGAACAAAACAGCCACGACCGCTGGCAGTCGTCTTCGGCGGCTGCGTCGACTACGGGTGCGAGGTTACGATAAGGACGTGCTTAGCCTAGAAGGTCGCACTGCTCCAAAAGATGCGGAAGATGCGGGAAAGGGAGCACTGGAGATTTCCGTGTGCATTTTCCGTCTCACCCAGCGTTTCATTCGGAGAGTTTTGTATTCTGACGGATGTGGTACCCACACTACCAGAGAGCATTGCGAACAGTTTACATATGAACACAAAGATTCCCCTTTTGATTTCAGTTTCTTTTCATTTCCATTATATCATATAGGAAGCCCAAACAACAGTAGTGAAAAGCAACAACAGCGAATGATGCACCGCCCGATGGCCGATTTATTGTGATTAATTAAAAAAAAAAAGACGACCGCGAGAAAAGAATTCATTCCAGCATTATTGCACCCGATGTCCCTTCTTCGACTTTCTACAGCTTCGAGGACTCATCGGGATTCTTGATCTCCACCACGAGCTTGCCCGTGTTCACGCCCTTGAAGAGGCCGACCAGGGCCTCCTCGGCCGCGCGCAGACCGCCCTTGACAATGTGCTCCTTGCTCTTGAGCTTGCCCTCGGCCACCCACTTGGCCAGCTCGCCAATGGCGGTCGCGTTCTCCGCAGCGTAGTCAAAGACCAGGAAGCCCTGCATCTTGATGCGCTGCACGACGACCTGCAGGATGTTCTTGGGGCCCTTGACGTTGGTCGTGTTGTACTGGCTGATGCCGCCGCACATGACGAAGCGCGCGTACAAGTTGGCGCGGCCCAGGGCCATATCGAGGATCTCGCCGCCGACGTTGTCCCAGTACACGTCGATCCGGTCGGTGGTCGCCGCCTTGAACTGCTGCGCAAAGTCGGCGTCCTTGTAGTTGAGGCCGACGTCGAAGCCCAGCTCCTCGGTCAGCCACTTGACCTTGTCGGCGCTGCCCGCAATGCCGACGACGCGCTTGGCGCCCAGGATCTTGGCGATCTGGCCCACCACGCTGCCGGTCGCGCCAGCGGCGCCCGACACAACAACCGTGTCGGTCGGCTTGATGCCGCCGGCGACCTTCATGAGGCCATAGTAGGCCGTCAGACCAGTGCCACCCAGGGCGCTGACCAGGTCGATGGGCCGCAGGTGGCTGCGCAGGGCGGCGGGCATGGCGGCAAAGGGGTTCTCAACCATCTTCTCGTGGATGACGGCGACCTCGGTCCAGCCGGAAAAGGACACGACAATGTCGCCCTCAGCGGCCTTGGAGGACTTGGTGGCCAGCACGCGGGCGACGGTGACACCGCGCATGACAGCGCCAATCTGAACGGGCGGCAGGTAGGACGGGCGGTCGTTGAGCCAGCCGCGCATAGCCGGGTCGAGGCTCAGATAGAGAGCCTCGACGAGCAGGAAGCCATCCTGGAGATCGGCGGCGGTGGCTGCCGGGGCCGTCTCGATGCGGAAGGTCTGGCCGGGGATGATGTCGGTGGTGGGCCGCTCAGCGAGCACGACAGAGGTATTCTGGCGTGACATTGTGAGGTGTGAGGTTGTGCACGGTGTTGAGTGTGGTGTGTGGTGTGTGGAGTGTGATGGAAATGTGATAGAAGGTTGGTGTTGGAGAGTGAGAAAACTAAAGTTGTTTTGAAGTGTGGTGATAAAGATGACCTGTTGTTAAATGCATGGCGTCCCAGACAGGAAAGAGCAGAGGTGCAACGTGGAACGAGGCTTCCGTCCTTTATCTATTCTTCGAGGCACCCGGAAAGCACGACTGAAGCTCAAGGGAGGAGCGCGATGCGCTAACACGTATGGCAGTAGCCCACATCCTCGGCAGCCGCGTCCGTCCTAGTCGTAGCCTCCGACCCCGTTCTTTCCTTGTTGTTAGTTGCTCCGTGCACATCTCACCCCTCCCCTTCTCCTCAACATTGCTCCTTCCTGCCATCCTCTTTCCTCCTTTCTGCAGCACAGGATTCGCAGGAACAGCAACTTCTCCGAAGTCCACCTGCGCAAAAAGGCACTAGGATGCCCAAATAGAATAAAATTAAATACGGCAGCTACCCCTCGTCTCGTCACTCCTTCCTTTCTGCGACATATGCCAGCATGCCTTCCGAATTGCCCTTCCCCGTTTAGTATCAACAATATTGCGAGGCAAGAACAAAGAACCTCTGTAAGCGAAAAGATAGTAAGAAATTAAAATATAAATATAAATAAAATAAAATAAAATAAAATAAAAGGCCTTTCAAATGCGGTGGCGCAACAAAATGTAGCGGCCCAGCAGCTACAAGGTTTTATAAGAGGGGCTTCGGCGGCTACTGTTTTAGGAACTGGATCCCGCTGTTGAGTGTGGCGAGGCGCGCTTTAACGCATTTTGTCTTTGACGGGCCAAAAAATTGTGAGACCGGCGACCGGGAAACCGCTCAGGGACGGAGGGGATACAAAACTGGAGATCGAAATGTTGAGAGTCAGGAAGGACGAATCTTGTCGTAAACATGGAAACAACGAGAACGGGACGCTGTCAGTTAGAGACTGCAAGTGCAGTCATGTTGTCGTGGTGCTCCCTGGTCTCTGCTAGTTGCTCTTTCCTGTGTTCGCAACAGTGTCCCAGACAGTCGGCCAAGACAATGCAATTGCTCCTTCCCTCTGTCTGTACCCGTACGACGTACAACATATGCAAGATACGGGCATGCAGGAACACAGAGATAGCAGGAAGGTACGCCATGTACGACAGATGCGGCAGGTCGGCCGGTCCCTTGTCTCTGCGGTCTGGCAAGCACCCCACAATCGGGCTGCACGGATTTTTATTTTATTGTATTCTTTTATGTTGTTTTTTTTTTTTTGGCTGGGCTCCGCGGAGCGCGCCGGAGACTTTTTTTAATCATAAATTCCCATATTATAAATCGAGGAGGATGAAAGCAAAACGAATCAAAAGGTAAAGTAGAAGAAAGAATGACAGCGGAGATGGTAAAGACAATGGGACTGTCAAACATGGCAGCACATTGCCGTTGACATCTCGGAACCGCTTGGCGGTGGCTCTTTTTTGGCGGCCGAGGCTGGCCGTTTTGGATCAACACTGAGACCATCGACCGCCAGCGGCGGCACTTCCGCATTGGGGACAAGTGCTGGGCGTGGTAGCAGGGACTGATAGTGGAGTTCGGGGTGTGTTAGGGGGTGCAATTTCTTCGTAGGTCGCTTGACGCTTGCCGCTTTGTAGTGCTGTTCAACACCCAAAACCAGTGGTGGGACAGGGCTTGATAGTGCCGAGGCTCACGTCTTCAGCTTTGTCATTGTTTTTTTTTTCCTAATTTTTCGTAGCGCACTTAAGCTCGCATGTCATGTCTATATTAGGTAACTCTCCCGGGGCGGACAGCGGGATTCACATCATTGCCGTTGGAATTCCATGCATTGCTGTTGTTTGGCCACCGGGTTTCGTATTGTGCAGCTTCAAACTTGGATTTCCAAATACAGTTTTCAAGTACGACATACATTTCCAGCCGAGGCAGAACTATCCTTCTCGAACAATCTATTTTGTAACCAAGATCGCACGATGCCTTGACATCGCTTCCATCGTTTTCGTTGTTAGGCCATTGCCGAGCACGCCGAGCACGCCGAACACGCCGGATGCACAGAATTTGTTAGGCCCGTAATCTGTTTCCGGCCCCGTACTCCGTGCACACTACTTCGGCTCGACGTATCCCGTCACCTTGGCCAGAGCACTGCGCACCGGCACATTAGCGTTTGCGCCCGGCTTCGGGAAGCCGTCGATCTGAACGCCTTCGCGGAACAGCAGCACGTGCGACGAGCCGCCAAAGTGGAACATGCCGAGCTCGTCGCCCTTGTCAAAGTGCTGGCCCTCCTTGACGCCAATCTCGCAGGTGCTGACCTCGTCCATGCCGACGCCGATAAACGCCATCAGGCCAATGTCCTTGTTGTCGGCCTCGATGAAAATGATGGCGCGCGTGGCCAGAGCCGTCAGGTAGCCCTGGGCCACGGTAATGCCCTTGACGTCGATCTCGTGGTGGCTGTGGCCCTCCTCGCCCTCGAACAGCGGCTCGCTGAAGTAGGTGCCGTCCTGCACAAACGCCCGCTTCACCGTGCCGGACACGGGCGCGTGCCAGCGGTGGTACGACAGGGCCGACAGGAACGCCTGGTAGACGGTGGCGTTTTGGAACTGCTGCGCCAGCGGGTCGTGCGCGAGCATGTCGAGCACGCTGTACGGCTGGCCCTTGATCCAGAAGCGGTCGCGCAGCTTGGCCTTGCGGGCCACGTCGAACGTGCGGCTCTCGCAGGCGTTGTTGATGACGGCCAGGTCGTCGGGGTTGGCCACGGGGCGGGCTTCTTCGCGGACGTGGCGCGTAAAGAAGTCGTCCCACGACTTGTAGCCGTAGTGCTTGGCGCTCGGGTCGCAGATGTACATGTCCTCAAACTTGTGGTCTGTCTTGTAGGGGGCGTTGGCGACCTCCATCAGGTCCTTGTAGCCGACTTTGCCCAACCAGCCGGTCTCGTGGTCGCCCAGCACCTCGGCCGACTCGGGCGTCGTCAGGTACTTGCCCCAGGCGTTGAGCACCTTCTTCAGCATGCGGTTGACGTCCGGGTCGAGGAACGCCGCGTGGCCGCTCGGTGTGCCCATGACGTAGTCAAAGATGGCGCACAGAGGCACGCCGACCATGCCGACGCTCTGGGCCGCGTTGGTCCACTCGGGCGCGCGGCCGAATACGTGGTTGAGCACGTCGAGCATGTGCATGTAGTCGCGGATCTGGCGACCGCCGGTGGGGTCGTGCTGGTAGACACGGCGGTGCGGCACCTCGTCCCACATGGCTGTAAAGTACATGTAGACGCGCGGGTTGGTCTCGATGAACTCCTTGAACTCCTGGAGAGCCGGGGCAAGGGCGGCGCGCTTGGACTTGCTGTCGACGTGCTTGACCGTCTTGCTCAGCCACTCGTGCTGCACGCGGTGGTCTGCCGGTAGCCAGCCACCGGCACTGACGTTGTCAGCGTTGACATCATTGGACAGACGCAGCAAGAAAAAGTAGTAAAGGGCACACAACAACGCTTTAACGACCTACTGGTTCCGCTGGTAAATCT